ATTAGCCAGACATGGTGGCGGGTGCCTGTAATACCAGCTGAGGCAGGAGAATCAATTGAACCCAGGAGGAGGAGGTTGCAGTGAGCCGAGATGGCACCACTGCACTCCAGCCTGGGCAACAAGAGTGAAACTCCATCTCAAAAAAAAAAAAAATTTAAATTTAAGACACTAAGGTGGACAGCAATTTCTTAGGCCACAATAGAGAACTAACACAGTGGTCCCAATTCCTCCTCTTTTTGTCTCTCTCCACTCTCTTCTTCGATGGAAACATCCAATTCTATAGCTTTATTTTTATTTATTTATTTATTTATTTTATTTTATTTTTTTTTTGAGACGGAGTTTCGCTCTTGTTACCCAGGCTGGAGTGCAATGGCGCGATCTTGGCTCACCGCAACCTCCGCCTCCTGGGTTCAGGAAATTCTCCTGCCTCAGCCTCCTGAGTAGCTGGGATTACAGGCACGCGCCACCATGCCCAGCTAATTTTTTTGTATTTTTAGTAGAGACGGGGTTTCACCATATTGACCAGGATGGTCTCGATCTCTTGACCTCGTGATCCACCCACCTTGGCCTCCCAAAGTGCTGGGATTACAGGCGTGAGCCACCGCACCCGGCAAATTCTATAGCTTTAAACACCATGTATTGGCTGAGGACTCCCGAATCTCCAAATTCTGACCTCTCCTTTGAGAGTCAAGCTGGATTATCTAATGGCCTCTGTGACATCCTCTCTCAGGTGTCTCAAACCCACTGTCTCCTAAATCTCTCAGGTCCCCCTGGCCCATATCAGGAAATGGTATCATTAGGTAGCTTGGTCCAAGCCCCAAGAATTGCCTTTGATTGTCTTTTACCTGACTCCTATCCTCCCTGCAAGTTCCTGTTCATTTTATCTTCAAAATACCTCTCAAGTCCATTCACACCTCACCATCTCCACTGCAACCACCTCAGTCCACACCAACATCATTTCTCCCCTAGGCTGCTGCACCAGCCTCCCCTCCATCTCCCTTGAAGTCTATTTTTACACAGCAGTTGGAATCCTCTCATATTGGAACAACTCAGCCCCATGGAGACTGCAAACAGGGCCACGAGTTCCTTCCTTTCCTGTACGCATGCCACTTTGCAATATGTGCTTCTTGATGGCTTTGCTGCTCCTGCCAGCTAAGACTCATGGTTTTCTCTTTCCTCTCCAAGATTGCAAACTCCATGAGAGCAAGAACGATGTCTGGACTTTGCTCATTAATTTATCCCCAGGACCCAGCATCTAGGAGATATTCAATAAGTATTTGAATAAATGAATGAAAAAGAATGATAATAATATTTTTTAGAACATGTCACCCGGGTACAGTGGCTTATGCCTGTAATCCCAGCACTTTTTGAGAGGCTGAGGCAGTCAGATCACCTGAGGTCAGGAGTTCCAGACCAGCCTCACCAACATGGTGAAACCTCATCTTTACTAAAAACACAAAAATTAGCCAGCATGGTGACAGGCACCTGTATTCCTAGCTACTTGGGAGGCTGAGACAGGAGAATTGCTTGAACCTGAGATCACGCCATTGCACTCCAGCATGGGGACAAGAGCAATACTTGTCTCCAAAAAAAAAAAAAAAAAAAGAATATGGCTGGGCGCGGTGGCTCAAGCCTGTAATCCCAGCACTTTGGGAGGCCGAGGCGGGTGGATCACAAGGTCAAGAGATCGAGACCATCCTGGTCAACATGGTGAAACCCCGTCTCTACTAAAAGTGCAAAAAATTAGCTGGGCATGGTGGCACGTGCCTGTAATTCCAGCTACTCAGGAGGCTGAGGCAGGAGAATTGCCTGAGCCCAGGAGGCGGAGGTTGCAGTGAGCCGAGATCGCGCCATTGCACTCCAGCCTGGGTAACAAGGGCGAAACTCAAGTCTCAAAAAAAAAAAAAAAAAAAAAAAAAAAAGAATATGTAACTTTGAGCCAGGCACTGTGCGAAGTACTTAACATTTACTGTCTTAAATTTGCTGGCTTCAAATGCAGGAATGAGGTCAGCCAATCCCCACACAGGAGAGGCAAACCGTCCCAGCTGAGCTTAGCCCACACTGCCAAGCTACATATCATGAACAAATAAAAGGCCCTTCTTTTTAAGTCACTCAGATTTGGAATGGTTTGTTATGCAGCAGAAACTAACTGATACAATCCCCTACTCAAAGCCATCCAGGGGCTTCCCACTGTACTTAGTATAAAATCCAAACTTGTAAATGTAGGCTCTGAGGCTTGTGATCTCACCTCGCCTGCTCCAGCTCTCCCCTCATTCACAACCCCGCACCCTGCTTTTCTTTTTCTTTGAGATGGAGTCTCGCTCTGCTGCCTACATTGGAGTGCAGTGGCACGATCTTGGCTCACTGCAACCTCTGCTTCCCAGGTTCAAGTGATTCTCCTGCCTTAGCTTCCCAAATAACTGAGATTACAGGTGCCCACCACCATGCCCAGCTAATTTTTTTGAATTTTTAGTAGAGAAGGGGTTTTGCCATGTTGGCCAGGCTGGTCTCGAACTCCTGACCTCAAGTGATCCAGCCACCTCAACCTCTTAAAGTGCTGGGATTACAGGTGTGAGCCACGATGCCCCAGCCTATCACCCTTTTATAGAACAGGAAAGTGCCCAGAGCTGGTGCTTAAGAACTCAGATTCCAGGAGCCAGAGTTTGAATCCAGGCTCCACCATTGCTATCTGTGTGACCTCAGGAAAGTCACTGAGTCTTTCTGTACCTCAGTTTCCTCATCTGTTAAACAGGATCGCCAATATGACCCACCTTCTAGGGTTGTTATGGGGGTTAAGTGAGTTGAAATCTGTGAAACACTTAAAGCAGTGCCTGACACACAGTAAGGTCTACTAAATATATAGATTTTTCTGGGCTGGATTGTGACCCTTACAAAATTCACATGTTGAAGCCCTAAGCCTTAGAACAAGCTTGTCCAACCTGCAGCCTGTGGGCCACATGCAGCCCAGGATGGCTTTGAATGTGGCCCAACACAAATTCATAAACTTTCTTAAAAATTTTGAGATTTTTTTTGTGATTTTTTTTTTTTTAGGCTCATCAGCTATCGTCAGTGTTAACATATTTTATGTGTGGCCCAAGACAATTCTTCTTCTTGCAATGTGGCCCAAGGAAGCCAAAAGATTGAACACCCCTGCACTAGAATCTCAGAATTTTTTTTTTTTTTGAGAGTGTATTTGGAAACAGGGCTTTTTTTTGAGTGGAGTTTTGCTCTTGTTGCTCAGTCTGGAGTGCAATGACATGATCTCGGCCCACCACAGTCTCCACACCTGGATAATTTTTGTATTTTTAGTAGAGATGGGTTTCTCCATGTTGGTCAGGCTGGTTTTGAACTCCTGACTGCAGGTGATCCACTCACCTCGGCCTCCCAAAGTGCTGGGATTACAGGCGTGAGCCATTGCGCCCAGCCAAAAGTTCCTCTTTGAGGTGTATTATTATTTTTTACTCACTTAGTCACACTAGGCTTTGTTTCCAGAAAGGATTTAGGCAGCGGGCTTCAGGATGCATGATGATGTTCCTTTTTGGGACATAAGGTCTCCATGTGTGTCTTGTGCTAGTGGCATCAGTTGTGAGATGCTGGAAACAGCACTGGGCTCACTGAGAATTAACCATTTCTGGCCCTAACGATGACATCTTTGAGCTGCCTGACCTTGGGCAACTCACTTTATCTCTCTGAGCCTCAGTTTTCTCATCTGGAGAATGTGTGTGCCTTTAGCTGTCATATCTATTAAACTCTTAATGAGACAGGCAGTACTCGGCATGTTGAATTTTCACAGGAGTCCAACAAGACAGGATTAAGTTGTATTATTACATCCCGTCTTGCAGATGAGGAAACTGAGGCTCCAATAGGGAAAGAAACTTGTCCAGGCTTACATAGTTCAGGCAGCAAAGCTGGAACTCTCATTCAAGATGTTCTTAGACCCTGTCTGTTTAGACCCTGGGCTCTACAGCCTTCCCATACACATAGCCATGCATATGCAGGAAGCTGTTGCAAACGCTCCATAAATTTGAATTATTCAGAAGACAAGACTCACAGGTCTTAAATAGAGCAAGATGGGAAGGCTCAGAATGAGATTTGAAGAAGGGCCGTGTCAAAGATGGTGTGTAACAGGCAAAATGGAGTGGAGTGCTGGAGGAAGGGTACTCCAGGGAGGGGCTGTGGGAGCAAAAGTGTGAAGTTGGAATGAAGTTGGCATGTCAAAGTCCAGATGCCCAGCTGGGAGCAGGAAGAGGCAAGGTCAAGGAGAGTCTGGGTGGATGTCTGGCCGGAGCTTGAAGGAGCCATAATGCATTCTTGGGCAGGGCAAGTGGGATGGTGTGGTAGGTAGTGGCCATTATCACTCTCATCATCATCTTCACCTCCCTTTACTAAACACCTACTATGTGCTAAGCCCTAATTGAAGCACTGTACGTGTATTTTTTCATATAATGTCTCAACAGTTCCTTGAGGTAGGTCTTACTATTACAGATAGGAAACTCGAGTTCAGAGAGGGGAGAATCTGACCACCATTACTTAGCTAGGAAGTGACCAAGCTATGACTTGAACCTTAATCTGACTCCATAGCCTGTGTTTCACCTTTTTTTTTTTTTTTTTGAGATGGAGTCTCACTCTTATCGCCCAGGTTGGAGTGCAGTGGCATGATCTCGGCTCACTGCAACCTCTGCCACCCGGATTCAAGCAATTCTCCTGCCACCATGCCCAGCTAATTTTTGTATTTTTAGTAGAGATGGGGTTTCACCATCTTGGCCAGGCTGGTCTTGAACTTCTGACCTCGTGATTCACCAGCCTCGGCCTCCCAAAGTGCTGTGATTACAGATGTGAGCCACCGCACCCAGCCATAGCCCACACTTTTAACCACCTGGGAGGTCCTCTGAGACCTTTGGGAAAAAAAAGAGGCTGAGATTGGGCAGAGGCAGAGTAGGCTGGTGGCTTGCAGCCCTCTCCCCACCCCCCCACTCCCCGCCCCCAGGGTTGACACCCACCCTGATTCTCCAGCTTCCTCTTCTCTAGCTCTGCCTCGATCTGATCCAGCACCATGGCCAGCTCCCCAAGGATCTTCTTCAGGTAGCTCACGTCATCATGCTCCAAAATCTTGGCCTGCGGGCAGGACAGGGCCAAGAAAAGCTGAGTTGTCCTCAATAGAGCCAGGATGTCCAGGGATGGAAGGAGCTTTGCTAACCTCCTTCGGCAAACCTCCAAATACCCGCCAAGTATATAGGATGCCCCTCCTGTTATGAAGCACCCTCATCTGGTGCCTACAACAGTCCTGCGAGCATGGCTGTCCTGCCTAGATCCCTGGTATATTCATACACCCAGATGCTGGTGGGCTGGCTGCTAGTGGCTCACAGCTGCGCCTTCTGTCAGCCAATAAGGAGCTGCATTGCCCACAAATACTTGAGAGATTACTGCCTGCACCCCTCCCTCCAACAATCTGTAGCCAGTGTCCCACTGATATGAGGGGATAAAAGGCTGGCTCATTGCCTCAATGTTGACCACTTCGGTGGTGCCATTTCTGCTCCAGAGCTTCCTGTGGAATCAAATGAGGCTTTGCAGCTTCTTCTTCCTTATCCCTCCCATCCCTCTGGGGTCCCCCTCAGAGCACCCCTTCAAGTCCTCCTTTCCCAAGAACCCCTATTTGGTGCTCTGCATTTATTTTTATTTATTTATTAATTATTATTATTACTACTACTTTTTGAGACAGTCTCACTCTGTTGTCCAGGCTGGAGTGTAGTGGCCTGATTTCAGCTCACTGCAACCTCCACCAACCAGGTTCAAGCAATTCTCCTGCCTCAGCCTCCCGAGTAGCTGGGACTACAGGTGCCCGCCATGATGGCTGGCTAATTTTTGTATTTTTAGTAGAGGTGGGATTTTGCCATGTTGGCCAGGCTGGTCTTGAACTCCTGAAAAGTGATCTGCCTGCCTCAGCCTCCCAAAGTGCTGGGATTACAGGCATGAGCCACCATGCCTGGCCAATGCTCTGCTTTTAAAGACACACCCTAAGACATGAGGAAAGTGAGGACCCAGGGCAGCAGTTGCTTACCCAAAGTCAACAGCTAGTAAATGGCAGGAGACAGGATTGGAAAAGCAAGCCAGGGGTTTTTCCATTTCACATCATCAGGTGATCTTCTACTTAGAACTGCTGATCTTCTACTTAGCTTCTCCTGTTGTTCATTTCCATGGAAGAGATGGTAGGGAAGGGACTCGGCAGGCCTAGGGGCACTCACCATGAGCTTTTTCTGTTTGGAAAGGTAGGGCTCGGAGAGCTGGGGCTCCTCTTCATGGTCCAGTTTCATGAGGTCCGTGGTGGCATTGGCTAAGTGTCCTGGGGAGAGAATAGGAAAGGTCCCATTCCTCTGATACCTGGCTTGCTCCCCCATCACTTCTCTTACACAAGTTGAAGTAGGCCCCATCCAAACACTGGTCAGAGAGGTAATACTGTCAACAGCCAACACTTAGAGAGCACTGCAGGCTGTGCCGTAGTGATGGATGCGATGCCATCCTGCCCTGAGCTCAGGCTGGTGAAAGAGACAGACACAAAAATAAATCTCAGCCAGGCGCAGTGCCTCCCTTCTGTAATCCTAACACTTTGGGAGGCTAAGGCGGGAGGATCACTTGAACCCAGGAGTTCAAGACCAGCTGGGGAAACATAGCAAGACCCCATCTTTAAAAAAAAAAAAAGTTAGCCAGGCATGATGGTGCACACTGTAGTTCCAGCTATTCAGGAGGCTGAGGCAGGGGATCACTTGAGCCTGGGAGGTCAAGGCTGTAGTGGGCAATGACTGTACCACTGCACTCCAGCCTGGGCAACAGAATGAGACCCTGACTCTAAAAAAAAAAAACTAAAATAAATAAATAATACTCATCAGCAATATTATAAAATACACATTTTTTAAACATAAAAATTTAAAAACATCTACAGCACAGCATGATTAATCTTTAGGGAAGAATGGACACAAGGCAGAGGGACCCAGAGGCTGCCTGCTTGGGGCACAAGGGGCTGAGAGGCCTCACAGAGGAGGAGACTGTACGCTTGAGGACGAGTAGGAGATGCCAGAAATGGATCGACTCGACCCTAGACCTGGTCATCTTCCCTGCCTCGCTGCTTCTCCCCTGCATTCTTCCCTAATTGCAGCATCCCCTCCCCCCCACAAAGCCCAGCCAGATGCCTGGAATTCACTCGCAGCTCCTCCCACCACCTCACCCCACATCAAGTCAGTCCCAGGTCCTGTTGATTCTTCCTCCTCCATCTTTCTCATATTTTCTCATGTTTAACGTCCTCTGTTTAACCCTCTGACTATCTTATTTTAGACTCCATTAATGTCTTACCTGGATGATTTAACCCACCCTCTGCCACCTCCCCTCGGTCCCTTACAAGCCCTTCTCCCCACCCCTGCCAGAGACACCTTCTTCACACACTTGACCATGCCACTCCCTGTTTAAAACCCATCCTGGCTCCTCGCTGCCCTCAGATAACATCCTATTTTCTCAACTTGCCTTTGAAGAGCCTGCAGGATCCACTTCCTCTTCCTCTCAGCTGCTCCATCTTTCATTGAGTTTCCTCAACTGGCCCTGTCCTAAGATGTAAATTTCAGCCACTCCACATGCTTGCTGTTGCCTGAATGTGCCACACCACTCTACACCTCCAGGCTTCTTATACTACTGCTTCTTCCTAAAATAGCCTCATCCTCCTTTCCTGAAAGCCTCCTTCTAGATCCAGCTGAAGATCACCTCCTCCACGAAGCCCTTCCTGATCCTCTAGGAGGTCTGCCCACTCAATACCTTTGCTTCCCAGTTTATACCCTACAGATTTCTGCCAGGGAATGCAAACACACTAATCAGAGCTGCCATTCACAACTCCGTTAATCTTGCTGTCTATATGAAAAGAGCCCTCCTGGACTTGTGCAGTTGCTTGCTGTACATGGAGATTTTGGTGCTAATGTAGTTATCGCTGAATATGTATGTCTCTCTCTAACACACATATTGAGCTTCTGGAGAGCAGTGGCTATGTCAGATTCATCTTTGTTCCCTTAAAACCCAGCACAGACCTGGCACAGAGCAGGAACTCAGTGAGTATTGAATGAATGAGTGAGTGAATGAATGAATGAATGAATGAAATGAGTGAGTGACTTAGGTTATTTAGCTTCTGTCCTCTGAGATTTCACCACCCACCACCCATCTCCTATCCTGGCACAAATCCTGGTAAACACACTCCCAGATCGTTCAGGTTCAGGGCTATATTAAGGCTCATTGATGTTTTATGAATGTGAAGGTCAAGGACAGCATCTTTTCTTGCCTGCCACCCAGTGCTGCCCATATGGCTGGCTTTAGACTCCAGGAGGGCAGGCCAGCCCAAGAGAAGACCTGAAGCTGATTAGGGGGTCACTGCAGGCTGGCTTCTACTCCTTCGGCACTCTGGGACCTCCTTCCCCTCATCCCCAAGCTGGGCTGGAACCCTGAGATCCTCTCTGCCTCCTCAGAGAAAGACGGGGAGGGAGGGAGTGGGCTGGGTCTGCTCTGGACCCCCGCTGCCTTCTAGGCACCTTCAAATGGCTCAGGGCAAGATTGAGGGAGTACTCCTAGCCCCCAGAAGCACTTGGGGACTGCCTCCAGCCCTCAGTCAGGCCTCCACCTACCGACAGGCCCCTTCGCTCTTCCCTCAGAGGAGTGATCTTCCTAAAATGCAGATCTGACCGTGTCACTTCCCATCACTGTCTCTCCTCTGCTCTTTGGATAAAATCCAAATTCTGCCAGACCTCCTTCCCAGACACACACCACGACCATTTCCACCCCACCTTGGGCTACACTTGCACCACACTGAACTTCCTCCAGCTCCCCAGATATACCCTGTCCTACTCCAGAACGTGAAATAATTCTCCCTCTTCCTTCCCTTCTACCTGCTACACATCCTTGGTCGTTAACTGCATTTTGGAAGCCTTCTGTGGCCCCAGAGGCTGGGGTGGGCACGTGTGTGTCCACAACCTCCCTGATCTCCTGCTCATAACACTGTTTGGCACCAGATTAAACACTTTTAAATAAATTCATTTTTGAACGGGTTATACATGTATATTGTTAAAATTCAAAGAATATTGAAGAAGATACTATAAAAGTAAATCTCTGTCCTCTCCAGCTGCAGTCTCTCAGTTCTATTCCCCAAAGACAAAAACTATTGGCAGCTTCCGTGTATCCTTCCAGAAATACTCCTTGCAGTGCCAGCATCTGTGTGTCCATTTAACCCCCTTCTGAGTACTAATGATAGCACACTAGATTTTTTTTTTTTGACCTTCACTTTTTTCCACTCACTAATCTATCTTAGGGAGCATTCCATACACTTATTAATTTTTAAAAACATCTGCACAGTATTCCATTGTATGGAAGTACCCATAATTTATTTACCCGGTTCCCAATTCATGACAGCTGGATTATTTCCAGCGATATTCTTGCTCTTGCCAACTATGCTGCAGTGACTACCTTTGCACATACTTCTTGGTGCACATGTTCAAGTGTAACTGCAGGGCAATGGCCAAGATGGGGGCTATGTTATGTTTGACATAGAGTGCCAGGCTACCCTCCTGAGAGCTTGTGTAAATTCACTTCATCCTGCACTGCCATTGCCTGGTGACTTGTCTTTCCCTCTGTGGAACTTGACCCTGGGATGGCAGAAGCTGTGTCTATTCCTGTTTGTCCCTAGTCCCCGGCCCAGGGTCTCTTATATGTTGTTGTTGAGGGGGCTGTTGCTGGGAGCCGGATGTGTAGATAAATCCTGACTCTTGGTCACACACAGTGGCTCATCCCAGCACTTTGAGAGGCTGAGGCGGGCAGATCACCTGAGGTCAGAAGTTCAAGACCAGCCTGGGCAATATGGCAAAACCCCATCTCTACCAAAAATACAAAAAATTAGCCAGGCGTGGTAGCATGTGCCTGTGGTCCCAGCGACTTGGGAGGCTCACAGAATCACTTGAGACTGGGAGGAGGCGGTTGCAATGAGTCAAGACTGCACCACTGCACTCCAGCCTGGATGACAGACGGAGACTCTGTCTCACCAAAATAAAGAAAAAGAAAGAAAAAATTCTGAGTCTTATTCAGTGGCAATGGTTCTCAAGGGACAGGTTGAGTTCTGCAACCTGACACCTCCCGCAACCCTGCCTTTGAACGTTAGCCGTTAGCCACGTTCCTTTGAGGGGAAGGACAGGACCATTTACCGAGCACCTATTATCTGCTAAGAATCTTTAGGTGTCTTTTGGCTCTAGGACCCCATGGTGATTATTCAAAGCCTAGACTGTGGTCTGTAAACAGCTGCTGAGGGATTATCTGATTTAATTCAACACCCATTCACCGGGTGTCAGACCTTCAATCTGAGACCCCACTGGGGGCCTTGCCACATCTGGGTAGCCTTCCTTGCTAATCCTAACCCTGAGTTCACTCGGTGTCCTTGGCCACCACCCACAGCCCTGACTGTCTAAGGCTGAAATTCACGTGGGGAGAACAAACCTTGTGGGGACAGACAGCCCCATAGTCTCTGTATGGGAGGGCAGGGCAAGAGTAGGGGGCAGGGGAGGGGGATGGGAGAGAGACTGGCAGAGAGGGAGAGAGACATTCTGTTAGAAACTGGGTGAATGAGGTGGAAGGCTGGGAAGGCGGGGGTGATGGGGCCGCAAGCAAGAGTCAGAGAGCGACAGCAAGAGAGAGAGAGAAAGACCAGCAGAGTCAGGAACCAACACAAAGAACTCAGAGAGAGGCAGGAACAAATGGAGAGTGCAAGAGGACAAACGGATAATACAAGAGAAAGGAAGAAGGGGAGGCTGGAGGGAGGCTGAGGAGAGGGAGGGCTTCCTTTGAAAAAACGAGGGGCAGTGAAGGAAGAAAGCAAAGGAGCTGTCTCGCCCCGGCACTCACTGCGGATCTCAGCTGTGGCATACTTGGGGATCATGGAGTCGGTGGTGAGCTCAGGGTGCAGGATGCAGCCGTGCGTGTAGGCGTCCATGGGCAGTGCGTCCAGCAGCTCCCGGTACTGCAGCACCCGCGCGTGCTGCGGGCTGCCCACCTCGGGCATCAGGGCCACCACGTGCTCTGTGGGCACCGCCAGGGGCTGGGCAGGGCAGCCAGAGGTCCCTGCCCCGGCCACCTGCCCCCAGCATCCCTGAGCCCCAGGATGTCTCTATCCAGAGGCCCCGGGCACACCCATGCTCGGGCTCGGCTGCTGCCTGACAGGGGATCCTAGCGGCGGCCCAGCCACCTCTCCTCACTGGGCTCTGCCAAGCTGTTCTTAAGGGGTAGCTCCTCTCAGCTCCAGACTTGCTGCTAGGTGGGGGTCTAGGCCCAGTGTTGTGTGATTCAAGAGAAGCTGCAACCTAGGTGTGCAACACTTGGGTCCCCTTGACTTTTAAACATTGGCAATCAATTCACATTCTTTTAAAACAGTGCACACCTGGGCCCTGATGCCATCCCAATGGCTGTCTGAGACTCTGCGATGGGCAGTGAGCTCCTGAGCCTGAAGAGGGCCTAAGTGGGGAGGGGATGGAGGGCTCTGCGGGGTTCTGGGGTGCTGGGCCCTCCCCTGTCTGCAGGGTTCTGGTGTATCTGGGCCCTCCCCTATCCATGGGGTGCTGCAGTATCTGGGCCCTCCCCTGTCTGTGGGGTCCTGGGATATCTGAACCCTCCCCTGTCTCAGAGTTCTGGGGTGTCTGGGACCATGTCTCCAGGTTCCTAGGGAATCTACGTTCCACAGGGAGCTGTGCCCTGCCCTTGCTCTGGATCCCCCTGGGGGATCTGGACCCTGTCTGTGGGGACCTAGAGGGTATTCTGGGGCCACTCATGCTGAAGGGGCCGTGCCTGTGACTGCATAGCTCTGGAGAAGGGGCTGTAGCCCCACTGTTCCTCGGGGGCTGTTTGGGCTGTGCCCTTACAGTACCAGGGGAGGGGGAGGTCTCTGGGGTCCTTATGGATCAATAGCAGGGCTGTGGCTCTGGGGGTCTTGGGGGGATCTGAACCCTGCCCGTGGCTTTGTGGCTCCTTTTTGGGGAGCCTGGGACTTGCCCACAGGCCCAGTGAATTTCCCAGACTTTCCAAAGTTCTGGGACCCTGTCAGCCTGTGTGGGCCCCAGAGGATCTGTGGTGTGGAGCGGGTCCCAGAGGGGGAGGCAGCCGTACCTCCTGTGAAGGTGCGCTCCACGTAGTCAATGATCTGGTCATAGTCGCTGATGATGTTGTCACGGTGGATGATGACGGGCACCTCCTCACCCAGGTTGAGCCGCATGAACCAGGGCTCCTTGTGCTCGCTCTGCGGCAGGCTCACGTCCCGCTCCTCACACACCAGGCCCTTCTCGGCAATCACCAGCCGCACCTGCAGGCGCCAGGGTCAGAGCGGGGAAGGCGGGCAGACACAGGGGACACTCTGCCCAGGTGGGGTGGGGGTGTGCGGGGAGGGAGGTCAGAGGTCACACACAGGAGGGGACACAGTTGCTTTCAGCCCATTCTTGGGCACCTGGGTTTAGGGGGATATCTCCCAGGGGCATGTGCCTGGTGGAGGGAGGAACACAGTTCTGCTCAGGGGACAAGTGGCTGAGGGGCTGGATTTGACAGCTGTCACACCCGGAATAGGATTCCTGGCTGTGTGAGTGTGGACAAAGTCCTTAAACTTTCTGAGCCTCTGTTTCCTTATTTTAAAAATGGGAGTATTAACAGTACCAACCCAGTGTCTGGGACTAATAGTTGGCACTCACTTTGTGGTCATCGTTATCACAGTTGAATGCTCAGCCTGGTCCCTAGGAGTGGCTGTGGCCAGGAAATTCACAGAAACTTTTTTTTTTTGAGACAGAGTCTTGCTCTATTGACCAGACTGGAGTGCAGTGGGGCGAACTCGGCTCACTGCAACCTCCGCCCCCTAGGCTCAAGCAATTCTCCTGGCTCAGTCTCTCAAGTAGTTGGGACTACAGGCTCCTGCCACCACACCCAGCTATTTTTTTTTTTTTTTTTTTTTTTTTTTTTTTTTTTTTTTTACAGAGTTTTGATTTTGTTGCCCAGGCTGGAGTGCAATGGCGTGATCTCGGTTCACCACAACCTCCACCTCCCAGGTTCAAGCGATTCTCCTGCCTCAGCCTCCCGAGTAGCTGGAATTACAGGCACATGCTACCACACCCAGCTAATTTTTGTATTTTTAGTAAAGATGGGGTTTCATCATATTGGCCAGGCTGGTCTTGAACTCCTGATCTCAAGTGATCCACCCACCTTGGCCTCCCAAAATATGGGGTTGCAGGTGTGAGCCACCACGCCCGGCCAGCTTTACTTCTTTGTGCTTCAGTTTCCCCTCCTGTCCAATGGGAGTCCTATAGCAATTGCCTCGGAGGCCCATTGTGAGGATTAAGTGCATTAGTCCCTGTGGAATGGTGCCTGGAACACAGTAGGGGTAACGTGTCTTAGCTGCTGGTATGAGGGCAGGTTTTGGAGGCAGACAGACCTTGATTTGGAAGCCTAGCTCTACTGCTTATTTGCTGTGTGGCCTTGAACAAGTCACTTGCGCTCTCTTGATTTCTAGCTTCTGTGAAGTGAGGAATGCAAGCATGAGGTTGAAATGGGGTGTTGTGGAGAGAGCCCCAGCATAGACGGTTAATACATGAGTTCTAACATCACTTATTACACACACACACACACCACGTACACACTCTGGGGTGTCCTAGAGTACTTCATGCCCCACCCTCACAGTGAACGGCAACACCTCCTCCTGTTTGGTGGATCGTGGGAAGGGAAAGGTGGCTTACCCTGAAACATCCAACATCCATTCACAGACTTATTTAGCTGGAGCGCATGGTGCAGGTAGAGGCCCTGGGCTAGGACGCAGGGATTCAAGCTCTCATCTTGGATCTGCCATAGCAATGCTGTGTGACCTTAGAGCTACCGCTGCCCCTTTCTGAGCCTCCTTTTTCTCATCAGCAAAACAAGGGGGCTGGATTCAGTGTTCACGGAGTGCCCTGCAGCCCTGCTGCAAGTGACACTAGTACATTCACAACCATGCAGGAGGCAGGAGACAGGGCTGGCTCTGCAGCCCTCCTTGGCAGTGGGAGGGAGCTGCTGGTTATGTCTGAGAGAGGGGGAAAGACTGTCACAGAGAGTGAGCAGCCCAGGGGCGGCATCTGTTTGGGTCTGAGTGTGTGAGTGCGTGTGTATGAGTGAGCAAATATGTGTACGTGTGTGTGTGCGTGAGTGTGGGTGTGCATGGATGAATGTATGAGTAAGTGTGAGTATTTAAGGCCTGTGAGTGTGGATGTGAGACCGTGCATGTGTGCACATGTGAGTGTGTGCCCTGTGTGTGTGCATGTGTCAGTGTGAGTGTGCGTGAGTGGGAGCATGTATGCATGTGTATACTTGCGCTTATGGGTGGCCTGTGACCTGGAGAAGCCCAGAGTAGTGGAGACTGGAGTTTGGCTGAAGCAGACAGCCCCCGTCTCTTGTCTGTACCTGGCCCTCCATCCTCCAGGCCAAGCTGGGACCTCTGACTCGGGGGAAACAGAGCCCCAACCAGGCCTTTGCCCTTGGTAGGGCCAGACAGTTGGCTTTCCATCTTGACAGGGCACCTGCCTGCAGGAGCCGCTCCTGTGCCCTGCTCCTGTAAAGGTGTCAGATAGAGCTGCTATTTGGGGAGGGGACTATCTTTAGAGGCATGATAATCCTGCTTGGAGCTGCTTTGGGGTCACCCTGGCAGGCGGCCAAGGAGACTTTCACCTTTAGCTGAGCTACAGGCCAGAGCAGTGTGTCACCCTGTGGGGGAGGGGGACCCAGAGAGGAAGCCAAACCTAAGGGAAGGGCATGCAGCTACCAAGGCCGTCAGCCATCTGTGCCCCCTGGAGGCTGGGCCAGACCTGTGTGGTCACCACTTAGTGTGATCAGACATCAACCATCTCTGGGTGAACGAGCTTCCCTGCGGGTGCCTGAACACCGCCCACTGGTGCCTCACTGTCGTGGGTCAGGCACTGCCTCTCCTCACCCAGGCCCTTGTTTATGTGACAGCCTGGGTTGGTGCCTCGGATTAGTTATTTAGTTGTGGTGTGACTTTGTAAAAGACACTCAGCATCTCTGAGCTCAGTTTATTTCACATTATGATTATTTTTTAATTAATAGGCTTTATTTTTAGAGCAGCTTTAGGTTTACAGAGTCAAATGACTTTTGATCGTAACACCTCACAGCTTGCAAATCCATCACTTTTCACCACTTTTTACTGAGTGCCTACTATGTACCAGGTCTTGTTAGAAACTCAGCAGTGAACAAAACAAAGATCCCTGACCTCAGGGAACTGACATGTTAGTGGGGGCAGGCAGATGATAAGCAATTTGGTTTGTCAAAAGATGGTGGATGCTCCCCCAAAAAGAGAAAATAGAGCAGGGACGGGGAATCGGGGCACCAGGGTGTCAGGGAGACAGGTGGCAATTTTAAATAAGGTGCACTATTAGAACAGGCCTCTCGAGAAGGTGGCATTTGAGCAAGGGCTTGAAAGAAGTGAAGGAGTGGTTCACACAGGGACCTGGAGAAGAGAGCTTCGGGCAGAGGGAACAGCCAGTGCTAAGGCGCTAAGCATGTTGGATATACTCAAAAGATAGCAAGGAAGCCAGTGTGTCTGGAGCAGGGCGGTCAGGAGTAGACAAGGAGGGTAGGAGCAGAAAGGGTTGTGCACAGTGGTTTTTTTTTTTTTTTTTTTTTTTTTTTTGAGACAGGGTCTTGCTCTGTTGCCCAGGCTGGAGTTCAGTGGTGCAATCTTGGCTCGATGCAACCTCCACCTCCCAGGTTCAAGTGATTTTCCTACCTTAGCTTGCCAAGTAGCTGGGACTACAGGCATGCACCACCATGTCTGGTTAGTTTTTGCTTTTCGTTTTTAGTTTTTGGGTTTTTTTGAGCTGGAGTTTTGCTCTTGTTGCCCAGGCTGGAGTGCAGTGGCATAATCTCGGCTCACTGCAACCTCCACCTCCCAGGTTCAAGCGATTCTCTTGCCTCAGCCTCCTAAGTAGCTGGGAGTACAGGTGCACGCCATCACGCCCAACTAATTTTTGTATTTTTAGTAAAGATGGGGTTTCACCATGTTGGTCAGGCTAGTCTTGAACTCCAGACCTCAGGTGATCCGCCCGCCTCAGCCTCCCAAAGTGCTGGGATTACAGGCATGAACCACCATGCCTGGCCTGTATTTTTAATAGAGATGGGGTTTCACCTGTTGGCCAGGTGAACTCCTGACTTCAGGTAATCCACCCACCTTGGCCTCCCAAAGTGCTGGGATTACGGATGCGAGCCACCACGCCTGGCCAGCTTCTCCACAGGATCTTTTAATCCACACTCCCAGGCCAAGGGGTCCGTGAATTAATTCAAGGACTCCTTGAACTAGGATGGGAAAATTACATGTTTATTTTCAGTAATCTCAAATTGACAGTTAGCATTTTCTTCAATTATGAATGTAGGCGATAAAGTAGGGTAGCGTTTAGCAGTGCCTGCAATATTGTCACCACTAGGAATCAGATATTTTCATCACTTCACAGTTGTTACAGTTGCCTCAAAATATCATGCACACTCATCATGATTCCAACATGACAGTTGTTATGGGACCAGCCACCAGGCCGTGTTATATAAGGGGTTAATACAGAAACATAAATATTATATAATGCTCTACTTCAATATGATTTTTTTTTTTTTGAGATGGAGTTTCGCTCTTGTTACCCAGGCTGGAGTGCAATGGCGCGATCTCGGCTCACTGCAACCTCCGCCTCCTGGGTTCAGGCAATTCTCCTGCCTCAGCCTCCTGAGTAGCTGGGATTACAGGCACGTGCCACCATGCCCAGCTAATTTTTTGTATTTTTAGTAGAGACGGGGTTTCACCATGTTGACCGGGATGGTCTCAATCTCTTGACCTTGTGATCCACCTGCCTGGGCCTCCCAAAGTGCTGGGATTACAGGCTTGAGCCACCGCGCCCGGCATGATTGGTTTTCATTCTAACCCAAAAATCCTATTATTTTATTTTATTCAATTAAAAACATTATTCCGAGAAGGGCCATTCCGCTCTCCCGAAACTCGGGTCTTGACTTAAGCAAGGTTAGGACCCTGCTAACCTAACCTTGCTTGAGTCAAGACCCAAGTCTGTGGCCTGCCAGAGGCCAGTTCTGACACCCAGGCATAGCAGGAGAGATGCAATGGCCTGAGGCCATTGTGAGGAGTCTGGCGTTTTCCTGGAGGGACCTGGGAGCCACTGCAGGCTTCTGAGCAGAGAAGCAGGGAGATGTATCTTGTTACTGCCCCCATCAGCTCTCATTTGTGGGTCTCCTCTTAGGTGGGGGGAGGCAGTACACGGTCAAGTGCAGCATGGACAAGTTGAGGGGCCAGGCCTAAGAGTTTGAAAGGCAAGGGCAGGGTGGGAGAGAGCTCATCCTTCACCCCTCGCATGTCTCCTGCCATGCCTGGGTGTCAGAACTGGCCTCTGGGAGGCCCCAGACTTGGGTCTCTTGTCCCTGGGAACTGAAGGCTGGGCCGGGGGCCCTCCAGAGTTACATCTAAGACAGGGAAGACCCTGACAGGAGGCAGTAAGGGAACCATGAACCAGGCTTGCTACAAGGAGCCGGGGATGACCCTCAGAGACTCACTCTGGTGGAAATAACAGCAGTAACAGCAGCCAATTATTAGCAGCACCTCTGTGCCAGGCACTCTTGTAGAGCTTTACATGCATTAGATCTTAATCCCTATGAATTCCAATGAGATAGGTCCTAGTACCCTCACTTTTAAGAAAAGAAATCAGGCACAGAGATTGTAAGTAACTTGCCCAGTCACACAGCTAGGAAGTAGCAATCTTGGTTTCTGAAAAGTGGCGAGTGGAGGACAGATGGATTCCCCAGAGGCAGGAGGCACTGAGGGGCAAGGCAGTTCTTCCTGCCTGGGGAAGGAGGAGGGAGGCAGGTTGTATCAAACATCTAGTTCATTTCCCTGTTGGGAAAACTGAGGACCAGTGAGGGTCAGGTCACACAGCCAGTTAGTGGGACTGCCAGCACTAGGACCTTGGTCTCCTGAGTCCCTGCATTTTTGTCCCTCCTGGCCTCACTCCTCCCCACAAAGAAGAAGGAGGCATCTGTAGGATGCCTCAGAAGCATCCTGCAATTAACTCTATGCATTTATACCCTCCTCCAAACCCTGTGGCCCCAAACCATGACCTATATAGTGCTTGAAAGCTCACTATTAGCAGGCAATCATTTAAGGTGTTGTGCTAAGTATGGGAACATGCATGATATCACTCAATCTTCCCAGCCCTCTCCCCCAAATATATGAGAAAGTTGCCTTAGAGAGGTAAAGAAGACACTTGCACAAAGCCACATAGCTGGGAATGGCAAAGTTGGGGTTTGATCGCATGTCTGGTTGATTCCAAAATCCATCCCTTTATAACAGAACACAGCACTTAACAGAGCACTTTCTATGTGCGAGGTGCTATTCTAGGTGATTGACATGGACACATTTGCTGAATCCTTACAATGACCCTGTTGGGGAGACACCAATGTTCTCAATTTACAGGTGTGGATAACTGAGGCATGAGAGGTTAAGCAGCTTGCTCGGGATTACCCAGCTGGCCAGTGGTAGAGCTGAGATGGAAGCCTGGGAAGTCTGGCCATAGAGCCTGGGCCCTGGGCTCACACACTGTCCTGCCGCCCTCTGGGTCTGGAATGATCTCCAGATGCCCAATGAAACCACCATCACTCCTAGAGGTGGGCTATTTTTCTTCATTAATAGTTCACATGACATTAAAGGCCCAGGCTATTTAGAGGCTTGACAATGAGGACTGCCCTCTATACAATTAAGGCCCTTCAGGATTGGCAAGAGGGAAGGAAACTCACCTGCTAAGCTCTCACTACATGCCAGGCAGTTAACATATGCCTATGTCTTCTAAAGAGTCCAGGAATTCTGCAGGGTAGGAATGTAAAATCCCCATTTCCAGATGAGGACATTGAGGCACAGAGAGGTAAAGTGACTTGTCCAAGGTCACTCAGCCAGTAAGTAGCCAAGATGAGAATTGAACCCAGGACTATATGACTGCAGAGCCCATGCCCTTTCTGCCAAGCTACACTGTTTCTAGAATCCACCGGGGGCCCCTGGGTAGGGGAAAGACCCTGGCATGGGAGACAGAAGGATGCCCAGGTTACCTTGGGCAGACACTTGGTCAAAAGTGGGGCTGCAGCAGATAGTTTCATCTCTGACAATGAAGCCACCTCAGCCCTGAGCTCAGGCCACTTAGGAAATATTTCATGTCATAAAGAACAGGAGGGTCCCTCATGATATGGTTATGGGAGGTGCCATCTCCCTGCCCCCTGTCTGGTCCAGCCACTGGAGCCTGCTTCCTGAGGTTCTAGGTGGGAGGAGGTTCTAGAATCTGAAGGGCAGTCTGCTTCATCTCCAAAGCCCCCATCCCCAGGCTTCTTGCATGAGGCCTGGGATGCAGTAGGTATTCTGTAAGCATGTGCAGAATTTGTGGATGATTCCAGTATGACCTGGATTAACTCTGGCCCCTCCTTTCCCTAGTGCTTTAATACCATCATAAGAGCCGTGGGTAGTGGCTCACGCCTGTAATCCCAGCACTTTGGGAGGCTGAGGTGGGTGGATCACTTGAGATCAGGAGTTTGAGACCAGCCTGGCCAACATAGAGAAACCCTGTCTCTACTAAAAGTATTTAAAAAATAGCCAGTGCAGTGGCGTGCGCCTGTAGTCCCAGCTACTTGAGAGGCTGAGGCAGGAGAACTGGTTGAACCCAGGAGGCAGAGGTTGCAGTGAGCCAGGATTGTGCCACTGTACTACAGCCTGGGCAACAGAGCAAGATTCTGTCTCAAAAAAAAAAAATCATAACACGCATTATGAACAGAGCCTTGACCCCTCACCAGGCACTGCCGTCAGTACTTTTTGTGCATCATATCACGTTTCACTCTCACAATAGCCCTCCAAGGAAGTTACTGCATGCACCCTATCTTACAGATTATAAAGCTGAGGCTTTGGAGAGGTAAAGTAATCTATCCACAGCTCCACAGTGAGTCAGTGGGCAATTTGATTGGTGGGCCAGCTTCAAAAGCATCACCTGGTCGCTTGTTGGAAAAGCAGCATCTTGGACCCCATTCCAGACCCACTGGATCAGAACCCTTGGGGTAGAATCCAGCAGCCTGGATTTTAACCAGCATCATCCAGGGATTCTAATGCACGCTCAAGTTTGAGTAGTGCCAGTCTGTAACACTGAGTTCCTAAGTTATACCCCTTCTTCAACAACCCTATCAGCAACCCTGAGAAGGGGTTGGGATTGAAAGTAACTGTTGTTATTATCATTATCCCGCTTTCCAGATAATGAAATGAGCCTAGACCAAGACTCAAACCCAAGTCTTTGGGTTCCAAGGCCCTTTCTCTTCATGGAATTTGTTTTTCCATCTGGAAAATGAACGAATGGAACAAAAGGATCTTCCAGGAAGAAGAGGAGTCAGAGGGTCAGGCAGTGGTACCGCTTAGGCCCCAGTAGGACCCGCCTCTGGGCCCTGGCCATGGTGCTGAATCCATGTCCCAGACACTGGCCAGCCGCCCTGGGTGGGAGATTGCGCCCCTAGAGGCGCCCCTGTTTGAGGGGTGCAGTTCACAGCCTCACCCCCAGGAAGCGGGAACCCTGAGACTCCAGCATAAGGCTGGATTTCCAACGACCCCTCAGCTCCTCTAGTTCTAGAAGCATTTTAGGGGCTACTCTGTGCCTTTAAGAGCAAAACAGATCTGTTTTGCTCTTAAAGGCACAGAGTGGCCCCAGCCCCTAAAATGGCTCAGGGGCTGAGCCGAGCTGGTGTGAGTGAGGGCATGGTTTAACTCCTTCCTTCTCAGCTCAAGGCACGGAATTAGGGGCGGGCGACGACTGGGGACAGACCTTCCAAGCCCCAGCCAGAGGAAGGCCCGTAGCCGGGACAGAGGGGCAGAGGAGCTGTGACCTGTGTGTGTGTTGAGGGTGGGGGGGAGCTGCAGTATCCGGGATGGTAGCAGCGTGCCGGGAGGGACTGAGGGGGGCTGCCGGGGCTGGACCTCAGGAAGCGCGTCTTCTCCCTCCCGCAGCAGCAGCACTCTCACCCCACCAGGCCGCCTTCCCAGCAGTGCCCATTCTCTTCCCCTTGCCTTTGTCTCTTTTCTCAGCTCCCCTCACCCCGCACCCCAACAGACCGGCTATTTCTGGGAGGGAAAGAGGCAGAAAGGATGCTCCTAAATTGAGAACTGTGATCCTGGGGCCCAGACAGGGCTGGTCGCCTTCCAGGTGAGCAGCCCTGGAACGAACCCTGGTCCCCCGACCTCCGGGACCCCCAAACCCCAGGCTCCCCACTCCAGTCTCTCGCCGCGCTCAGACCCCTCAAGCCCTGGTGCTCCCCTCCCCAAGCCTCCCCGCCACCGGCGCAGGCGGCTCCCGGCCAGGCTCTACCTTCTGCGAGCTGAAGGACTGGGTCCAGTGGTACAGAACCAGGCTCTCCCTGGGCCAATGGGCGGGGCTGGCCGCCTCGGGCGCGTCGGGGGCCTCGGCCGGCTTGGCCGCATCGCTCTCCAGCGCGGAGATGGGCCACCAGCTGCAGTTGGTGGGGGTCAGGTTGTTGGGGGTCGCCATGACAGCCCGGAATCAGAGGCAGGAAAGAAGGAGGCTCCGGCGCGGCGGCTCTCTCTCGCCCAGCATCACATGGCCTCGCCGAGCCTGCCCCTCTCCTCCCTCCCTCCCCGCTCCCTGAATGTCATTACTCACCGGGCAGGTGGGGGAGGGGGCGAGGGGATCCCGGGAGCTCCTTCCTCCTCCTCCCCCTGGCCCGCCAGAAAAGCCGCCAGCCCTCAGTGTCAGGCTCCCTGCAAGAGTGGAAGGAGCCCGAGGGAGTGGGCCGTGTCCCCCAAGCAGCTCAGCACATCGTCCAGGCATCTGCCAAAGATTCCACCATCATCAACGCTTTTCTGCCTCAGTCCACTAAGCAGCAAATACCTCTTAACTGGGATTCTAGAGATCTATTCATTTAGAAATTAGTGTCTGGAAATTGCTTGTCCCGCTTTGAAACTGTTATCTTCTAACTTTTCCCTTGAAGGGCCGGAAGGGCAGAGGTAACAGACTATGATTTATTTAACAGACACTTCCATAGCACTTACTCTGCCCAGCCACTGTTTTAAGGGCTTTGCAACTATCACCTCGTTTAGCTCTCACAATAGTCCTATTAGCTTCATTTTACAGAGAAGGAAACTGAGGCGCAGAGAGGCTAAGTGACCTTGCCCAAGGTCATCGAGCTCCTAGGTGGTGGTGCCGATGTGAACACAGGCAGTCTGGCTCCGGAGTCTGTGCTCTTAGCCGTAAGGTCATGATAATATGACAACATGAAAAACAGCGCAGCAACCATTTATCAACCGGGCCCCTCACATGCATCATCCCATTTCATCTGCACAATAATCATTTTTCACAGCTGAGGAAAGCGAGGCTCAGAAATGTCAAGTCATTGGTTCAAGGTCACATCTTCTACCAAGGCACAACCAGATGAGCCCAAAGAAAGCCTTTGCTGTCACAAAGTCTGTCCTAAACATTCATGGAAACTTCAGGAAAGTTCCTTAACACGCCTATGCTTCTATTACTATAAATACGGTGTTTTAATTCATTTACCATTGAGGAAATACAGAAGCAGACAACAGATGCAAATAGATGTACTAGGAAGATAACCTCAGTCCTCCCTCTCACCACCCACCACCCACCCCCATCCATCATGCTACTAAGGACCCCTGGGTATATCATCGTCCAGGCTGTAAGCCTGGATCAGAAGGAACCGGTATTCCTCCTTCTACCAGGTAACAAATGCTCTATGGCCCATGGGGTGTGGTGACATGTGTCTGTAGTCCTGGCCACTCAGAAGGTTGAGGCGGGAGGATTGCTTGAGCCTGAGAGGCAGAGATGGCAGTGAGCTGAGATCATGCCACTGCACTGCAGCCTGGGCAACAGAGAGAGACCCTGTCTCAAAAAAAAAAAAAGGAAATTAACAGTGTGATTCGTAAAATATTCAAATTTCTCCAGTTTTGCCAGGAATGTCTTTACAGATGGTTTTAACCAGGATCCAATCAAGGACCACATAATGGATTTTGTTCCTGCATTTTTAAGTCTATTTTAATCTAATATGGTCCTCACTCTTTTTTTTTGACACCCCCCTCGCCCCCGCCATGACATTGATTCATGAAGAGACTGGGCCAATTGTCTTGGACAATGTTCCTCTCTGGGATCTGTCACATTGCTTCATTGTGGTGTCCTTGAACTTCCTGTACTCTCGCCTGTGTTTCCTAAAAACTAGTATTTAGATCCAATGGATGGATTAGATTTAGGTGGAACATTTTGGGGGTGAGAAAGTAATTATATTTCATGAGTGGTGCTATGTGCTCCATTTCCCCTCACATCATGTCTAACTACTAATAATGCCAAGCTCGATCCTGGGGTTCAGGCGGTGACCACACCTCTCTAGGTAAATGTTCATTTCTCCTCTTCTGACCAGCACCTCGTGACTGTCCAGTTCCTCATTCACTGATGGTCAAGGAAGCAGTTACTACCATTAGGAAATGGTGATTTTCTAATTTTGTCCTTTTGTTGGCATTTGTCAGCTAGCATTCTTTATGTGAATGTCATTAAATATGAGTGAAGTTCACCATTCCTTCAACTGTTTAAAAACTAGGCTGGGTGTGATGGCTCACACCTGTTATCCCAGCACTTCAAGAGGCTGAGGTGGGTGGATTGTTTGGGATCAAGAGTTCGAGACCAGCCTGGGAAACATGCCAAAACCCTGTCTCTACTAAAAATACAAAAAATTAGCCAGGGGTTGTGTCATGCAACTGTAGTCCCAGCTACTGGGGAGGGTGAGATGGGAAGATTGCAGTGAGATAAGATTGTGCCACTGCACTCCAGCTTGGGCAGCTAGACACGCATCTCAAAACAAACAAACAAATAAAAGCCAACTAAACTGCTTTCCTAGTGAATCGTCTGTGTTTCCTTGGGGACCTGGACAATGACAGCACTGTGTGATACATGCTGTGACTGGGATGGGAAAGGGGTGTGGTACAGCCAGAAGGGGACATCTAGATCCCCTGTCTAGGCACTGGTCATGCCAGGGAAGGCTATTCAGGGCAATGGTTCTCAGTATGGGTTCCTCCCAAGCAGACCCCGAGACAAGTATTTGTATTCAAGGGCACATAGTTAACTTTGGAGAAAAAGGACATCTTGGGAGGCAAGTTGTCTCCCAAGAAGACAGGAAAGACAGCCAAAGAAGGTGTACTGCCAAGCAAGTTACCACTGTGGGTGACCAGGGCTTAATCCCACAGGCAAATTTCTAGAGTCTCATGAAGGCCCTCAGCATTATGCTGCCCAAGGAGGGAGACAGTTGGGGTATTTATACACCAAGCCCTGTCAGTCATTGTTTGAGGGCTGCTTTTTTAGAGAAGTCTTAATTTCCTGGCACTTCAGGCCTGCCCTGCAGTTGGCAGAGTGGGTCCCAGTGGCCACAGAAAGCCCTCAGGCAATAAACATGGGTGCTGCCAACTAGGGGGTCCACTGCTCAGAGACTTGAAGCAGAGGCTTGTGGGTTAAGGGGGACATAGCCAGCTGGGGAGGAGGTCAAAAGGATGCACACTCCAGGCAGAGACACAGGCCCAGAGGTGCTTGACGGACTGATGGCCACCTATCTGCTGGAGGCAGAGTGGAGATGTGAGGCTGGGTGGTCCTGTCAGGCCACTTAGAACACCTGCAGGAGTCATCACCCTGTGCCAAGGGCACTAGGAAGTCCCTGAAGAGCGGTTTTTTGTTTTTTGTTTGTTTTTTGAGATGGAGTCTCACTCTGTTGCCCAGGCAATGGTACCATCTTGGTTCACTGCAACCTCCACCTCCTAGGTTCAAACGATTCTCCTGCCTCAGCCTCCCAAATAGTTGGTATTACAGGTGCATCCCACCATGCCTGGCTTATTTTGTATTTTTAGTATTTAGTATTGTAATTTTAGTAGAGACAGGGTTTCACGATGTTGGTCTTGAACTCCTGACCTCAGGTGATCCGCCTGTCTCAGCCTCCCAAAGTGCTGGGATTACAGGTGTGAGCCACCATACCTGGCCCCCTAGAGAGTTTTAAGCAGGGAAATAATTGTCCAGTTTGGATGTCAGAAATCCAAAAAGGCCTGAAGTCCGTATTCCTCACAGGGTGGACTATTTCTCCCCTTCTTCCATGATGCCTAGAAATTGACTCAGCCACCAAGAGGTTGTTGTTGAATGTGAACCCAGGGCACAATGAGATGGGGTGCCCTGGCAAACATCTCACCTGGACCTATACGTGCAGACCGTGTATTTAAAAAGTCTGATAGCACATATGATCCTATGTTATCATGACATAATAACAGCCAGGACCATGTTCCATGTGCCCAATACCCTGCTAAGCACCACACTGTCATTATCTCATTGAGGTGGATACTGCGATCACCTTGATGCGGGGATGGATGGCTCAGGCGGCCCACTCTGGGATTCCCCAGCCAGTGTCTCTCCTCCATGCACGTGGCTAGGACACACGGCTGACTTTGGGCTCTCTGGGGCTGCCTTTGCAAGTTTTTCACTGACTCTGTCTGTCTCCTGTCTTTCTCCAGGCAGGGTTTAGTACAAAGATCTCAGGGATGTTTAGTGACTCACAGCCAGTCCTTCAGTGATGTCTCATCTCACGCAGAGGAAAACCAAAGTCCTAAAGACTTAAATGTGCTACCGGTCTGACCCCTATCACACCTCCCCATCTCCTTCCGCCCTCCCTCGTCCGCTGCCTCAGCCCATCAGCCTCCTGACTCTTCCCTAGAGGCAGCGGGTGCCCCCCTCAGCCTTGCTGAGGGTCTCTTCACTTGCTGTTCCCACTGTCTGCCACGCTCTTTTTCTGGTTTTTTTTTTTTTTTTTTTTTTTCCCGCAAGCTCTCTCCCTCACCACCTTCATATCTCTGCTCATGTAAATGCCACCTTAGAATGAGCTGAACATTTCCTGACTGCCCACGTAAAAGAGGTAGGTACTCTGACCCAGCACTCCTTTCTGTGACTATTTTTCTCTGTAGCACTTACCAGCAGGAGTCTGCCATGCGTTTTTTTGTTTGTTTGTTTTGTTTTGAGATGGAGTTTCGCTCTTGTCACCCAGGCTGGAGTGATGGCTTGATCTCGGCTCAACACAACCTTTGCCTCCCGGGTTCAAATGATTCTCCTGCTTCAGCCTCCCAAATAGCTGGGATTACAGGTGTGCGCCACCTCGCCCAGCTAATTTTGTTTTTTTTTTATTGGAGACGGGGTTCCTTCATGTTGGTCAGGCTGGTCTCGAATTCCTGACCTCAAGTGATCTGCCCGCCTCGGCCTCCCAAAGTGCTGAGATTACAGGCATGAGCCCCCGCACCTGGCCTGCCATATAGTTATTATTTATTTCCCCAATAGAGATATAATCTTCATAGGGTAAGGACTTGGTAATGATCACCTCCGCCTTCAGCTTCTGGCCCAGAGCCTGACACAGAATAGGTGCCCAATATTAAACAAATAAGTCAATCAATGAATGACCCCTGGCCTGCTCCCAGTGGTGGCCTCTGGTCAGCCTGACAGAAGTTTGTCGTGACCCTCAAGTCTCTGTGCCACACTTTTACACAGTCTCTCAATTCTCTTTTCCAGAACTCTAATCTCATTCCCTGGGTGTCGTTTTAATTCCCGGGGGTGACATTATTTCCAAGGTCTTTGA